TTCCTCTGCTGACTGTAGCTATATTCAGCTCTCACTCATAATTCAAAGATACCAAAAAACCCACGTTCTTTTACTGATTTAACTATTATTTTTATTTTTTACTTTTTTAATTCCTCTTCTCCCTGCACCCCAGTACCCCACCCCCAACTTAGTTCATATTCATGGGGTATACCCATAAATCCATTGGCTTCTCCATTTCTTATACTATTCTTAACCTCCCCTGTCTCTTTTGTGTCTACCTACTATGCTTCTTATTCCCTGTACCTTCCCCCCTATTCTCCCTCTCCCCACTGATAATCCTCCATGTGATCTCCATTTCTGTGATTCTGTTCCTGTTCTACTTGTTTGCTTAGATTTTGTTTTTGTTTTTTTAGTTTCAGTTGTTGATAGTTGTGAGTTTGTTATTTTGCTGTTCATATTTTTGATTATCTTCTATTTCTTAGATAAGTCTCTTTAACATTTCATATAATAAGGGCTTGGTGATAATGAACTCCTTTAACTTGACCTTCTCTGGGAAGCACTATATCTCCCCTTCTATTCTAAATGATAGCTTTGCTGAATAGAGTCATCTTGGATGTAGGTCCTTGCCTTTCATGATTTGGAATACTTCTTTCCAGCCCCTTCTTGCCTGTAAGGTTTTTTTGGGGTTTTTTTGTTTGTTTTTTTGGGTTTTTTTTTTTTTTTTGAGAAATCAGGTGATAGTCTTAGGAGAACTCCTTTGTAGGTAACCCTCTCCTTTACTCTTGTTCCTTTTAAGATTCTCTCCTTTAATCTTGGATAACTTAATTATGATGTGTCTTGGTATGTTCCTCCTTGGGTCCAGTTTCTTTGGGACTCTGTGAGCTTCCTGGACTTCCTGGAAGTCTATTTCCTTTGCCAGACTGAGGAAGTTTTCCTTCATTATTTGTTCAAATAAATTTTCAATTTCTTGTTCTTCATCTTCTCCTCCTGGCACACCTATGATTCGGATGTTGAAATGTTTAAAGTTGTTCTAGAGCTTTCTGATCCTCTCCTCATTTTTTTTTTTTTTTGAATTTTTGTCTCTTCATTCTGTTCTGTTTGGATGTTTGTTTCTTCATTTTGTTTCAAATCCTTGGTTTGAGTCCCAGTTTCCTTCCTTTCACTTTTGGTTCCCTGTATATTTTCTTTATTTCACTTTATATAGCCTTCATTTCTTCCTTTATTTTGTGACCGAACTCAGTCATTTTTGTGGGCATCCTGATTACCAGTGTTTTGAACTTGGCATCAGATAGGTTGCCTATCTCCTTGTTGCTTAGTTTTTTTCTGGAGTTTTGATGTGTTTTTTCATTTGGGCCATATTTCTCTGTCTTGGTGCACCTGTTATATTGTAAGGGGTGGAGCCTTAGGACAGGGCAACCCTCTTTGCTGTATGTGGGGGAGGAGTCAGAAGGAAAACAATGCCACTTTCTGGCTCTACTCTAGCCTCACTTTTCATCACTTCCCTCACTTTCCACAATGCACTGCCCCCTTTCAGATGCTGATTCACAGGTGGGTGAGTTTGTATACATTCTAGGACCCTGTGGGTCTCTCCCACGGACCTCCTGTGAGACTGAGGGTTTCTCCCCCTGCTACGACTCTCAAAGATTTTTACATCCAGAGGTTTTGAGTCTTTAGTTTCCCACGCTGAAACCCTGGGTTCTGTGGTCTGTCTTGCTTCCCAATTGTTCTTCCCAGCTTAATGCCCCACAAGTGTGGAACTGACTGTTCCACCAGCCACCTCCTTGGCTGTGCATCCTCTCTGCCCCAGCTGCCTGTCTCCACCCCTCCTACCAGTCAGGATGAATGTTTCTTCTTTAATTCCTTGGTTGTCAGATTTCCATGAAGTTTAAATTTCTGGCAGTTCTGGTTGTTTTTTGTTTTTAAATTTGTTATTGTCCTTCTTTCGGTTGTGTGAGGAAGTGAAGCATTTCTGCCTATGGCTCCATCTTGGCCAGAACTCCTGGGCTGCTTTAAGAATTATGGAGGAAACATCTTGTGTACAGTTCTAATTGTTATTTTTATTAATCAGAGCTTTTCTATCATTGGAATATTTATTAAAATAATATTCTACTTTATCATGTTTATTCCTTCATTGGAACATTTATTGAAATAATATTCTACTTTATCATGTTTATTCCTTAAGGTCTGACAACCTAATTTCCTTCTACCATTCTTTGGAAACTACTGCCTTAAAAGTCAGGGAAGGATAAAGTAATCATTAAACCTCAGGGCTTTTACTCACTTATCATCTTTAATTCACATTCCAGCTTGTTCCAGTAAATCTAAGTTTCCTTTTACTATATTATAAAAACTTCTGCCTGTCTAAGCTTTTTCCTCTTTGCATTCCCTTATCAATACCTCACTGACTGTCAGAGCTCTCAGCAGCTTCTTTCACTCATACTGATCCTTTTCATATACTCCAGTAATACAAGAAATAATACTTGTATTATTTCTCACTTCTTATTATATATTTCTCTTGAACAATGAGTTGGACCTCAAATTTAATTTGTCTAAAATGGGACTTATTCTTTCCACTCCCTCCCTCCCTACCTCAACTTTTTCTTCGAACTTTCTTGTTGTTGTTGTTTTCTTTTCTTTTTTAATCAAGTAGTGCCTTTCTTTAGGCACAAGTAGGTTCCTAGTTTCTCTTTGTACCTTCCATACTTGGAGAGAAAGAAAAAGCTAGGCACTGTTGTTACAGAACAGACCTGGGCTGGGGAGGTGAGGGTGGTGAAACAATATACTGTTGCTGAATGGACCAACTCCTGTGCTCTGGGGGTTGTCCACCCTGTACTAGGTTCACCTTGCCGACCACCAGATAAAGATGTCTCTCAATGCCAGAGACTGGTAAAAATGAAGGGGATTATTTATTTAAAGAGTTATACAAACTTAAGAGTAATTACTTAATGTTTTTATTGAGATCCCAAAGTCCTTTAGAATACCCAGAAAGGCACAGTCCTTCCTTCCCTCCCTGCCCAGTCCCAAGTACTGTATCTCAGAAAAAGAAATAGAAGTCCGTGGTTCTTCCTTGTCCAAGCCCTGTGGTCCCACAAAGATGCCACATGGCTGCCATGCCTGGGTTTAAATCCCAGTGCCAATCCTCCTCTGTCACACCATTTCCAACTCCTCCCACAATTGGCCACAGGTGCCAGCATTCCTGTATTTTTCTAGCTTTACTGGGCTGATGTAGTAAGTCTGGGCAGGTATGGGCCTGTGGTGTTGAGCTAATCATCTCCAACCTCTCATGCAGGCTCTATAACCAGGGGGAGTTGCCTCCCAGTTACATCGCTCAAACCATGGCCACAGCTCAAACCATGGCCACAGCTGTTTAACATATCTATAAAACCAGTTAAAAGTTATAGATATGTTAAATAACTGTTCTAGAGTTTATCTGCAAAACTGTAGCTATTCAAAACAACTCTCAATGGCCCTGCTCCATATGTCCCATTCCCCAGTTCAGACTTATGGGGGTGAGGACATCCTATATATATACTTTTGTCTAATACTTCCTGGACACCGAGTTCTGGACCCCATTGCAAATCTCTGTTTGGGGCCTCCCCCTTAGTAGCACCCTGTTACACTGTGATTTATAGGGCAGGGCAAAGTGGGTTTACAGTTGTGAGTACATAAAACAGTTTATCTTTATATTATTTATTCATTATTATATTATTATCCATATGACCAACTTTTGCCCCACATTATACATACATCATCTCATTTAAACCCCTACACAATTTACATTTCATATATTATATACTAAGAACCAAAGCAGTCAGGAGAGTTGCCTAATGCCACAAAGCTGTCTAAGAATGGGTACCATATCTGCTGGACACTGAAATCTACATACTTTTTGCTCTGTAACAGAATGATGGCTCTTAAAAAACAATATACCTGGAATCAAAGAAATATTCAATTGTTTTTGCTGTTATAGTTATTAAAATAAAGTAGACAAATATATTTTAGAAGAATTGTGAACCTTTAATAAGGGGGAGAGTAATAAAAACATTCTATTAAATTTTCTGTTATTAAAATACTATTAATGAGAATAACCGTTTTCCCAAATTCCTCAATCAATCGAGGTTGTATTATATACCAAACTATGTGGTTGTGTAATATACTAAACTGGGTGTATATTCAATAACATTTTTCATGTTGAAATATTGAGTTGGATATAGGTGTTTTTGTTTGTTCATTGGTTTTACTACATGGTGTTAACTGGATGATTGTCAATGCTATACTCAACAATTAAAGAGATCTTTACCCTGAGGCTTCAGAGCTCAGTTTGATAACTGAGATAGAATAACCTAACGTTAAAGGGGAGGCAATAGCAGCAGTTAGTTAACAGTGAGGCAATGTCCTATGGGTATGCAAATTGAGAAATTACATAGTAACTTATAAGTATGGATTGTACTCAGGGCAAAGAATGTACCATCATTATGCTAATGCACACTGAATAATGGTCTATTAAGTACCATTTAATCCAATTTAGACCTAATGAACTTGGTAGATGAGATTCCTGCTGAATTAAGGAGTAATTAAAGCCTCATTTTGGATTTTTTTGTCATCTAGGTCAAGTAGTTTCAAGTAGTTGTGTATATTTATTTGTTGCAGGAAAGATACAACTTTCTTATGTTGCCTCTGGTTAATTCCTTAAGAAATATTTATGGAATATGATTTGTGTCATAGAGGATATCTGTTGGTGAGTGGGAGATAATGATATAAAGGACTTAGAAAACTATTTGCTGCATTTAAGGAGTTCTATTTCCATGTTTGCTAATTTTTCTCAGTTACTCTGAGTGGTACTTTTTTTTTTAATTAAATGGATAAAAAGAATTTTGTTTGAGTCTAAAGGCAAAATAACTCTCCTCTCTAGCAAGAAGATTGCCAAAGGTCTTTAATAGAAGGAAAACAATTAAAAAGGTGAAGATGTGTTTTGACTCTGTACTCAGTCTCACCTGTCTCAGAGGTGCAATGACACTGGTTTTATTTGGAACTTTCAGGAAGGGGTCCGGATCACCATTTTGCAGAAAGTACAAAAGATGTGTCAGAAGAAGCCCATGTCTGCCTACCCTGCAGGGAGGGCTGCCCCTACTGTGCCGATGACAGCCCCTGCTTTGTCCAGGAGGATAAGTATTTACGACTTGCTATCATCTCCTTCCAAGCCCTGTGTATGCTGCTCGACTTCATTAGCATGCTGGTGGTCTACCACTTTCGCAAAGCAAAGGTAAACCCAGGTACCCTGGTTATGATCTTCCTTTTTTATTATAAAGTGACCTCTTCTTTTTTTTTTTTTTAAGCAGTTGAAGTTTTCAAAATCCTAGTGGCTTCTCTATTAAGCAGAAATCTTTGTATAGTAGGATAGGACTAGAGAGTATGAAAGTTATATTTTTAGCTTTCCAGAAGAAATAGGGACTAAAAATATGAAACTTTATTATAACATTTTTTTTCTACAGAAGATTTTCCTCTATTTAGCCTAGAGCTTGAGTTCTTCATTGTCTTAAAAGACTATCTTTTACATCATCTCTTTGGCTTCTCAAAGAACTTACTCTGCCAGTGCCCAATATATTGTTAATTTTTTCATATCTAGAAAGCTTTGTGACATTTATTATATTTCATTTTTATTTCTTTAAGCCATATTGGAATATGGGAAATAGACCAATGTATTTTTGAGCAGATTATACTTTGAAGAATGAATTTATTCATGACCTTTTATTAGGTCTTACATTACTGTCCCAGAATAATAGTGCTGTTGCAAAAAGCTTGTAGAGCAGTTGAGAGAGCCTGTCCCTTGGTTCAGTTCTGAGAAATCGAAGAGTAATATAAGCATTTGTATGCTTCTCAGTCAGGGGCGGATGAATGCTCAGATGTTCAGAGCAAAGCTTTCTGGGGAGGTGTCTGCCCTGGGTCATCCCGTTAATTCTATGAAACCAGTGCTGTGTCAGAATTTGTGGTGCTTTTGCTTTCAGAAACTCATTTTGCCATTGGAAAGAAAATAAAAATCTAAAGTTTCCACCTTTTCTGAATTCATATGACCCCCGTGTTAGCAAAGTTGTACAGATTGGTTTGGAGCTCATTACAGAGATCATTGACAGTAGAAATTGTTCTAGTTATAAATTTTTTTTCTTATTCTAAAAAATCCCTTTCTTTTTGCTTTAAAATAGTTTTTCAATATATTTTATTAATTATGCCATTACAGTTGTTCTATTCCCCCCCTTCATTCCCCTCCACGCTATACACCCCCTCCCCCATTATCCCCCCTTTAGTTTATGACCACGTGTCTCAAGTCCTTTAGATTCTATATTTCCCCTACTATTCTTGCCCTACCCCCCCTATTTTCTACCTACCATCTATGCTACTTATTTTCTGTACCTTCTCCCACCTTCTCCTTCTCCCACTCCCCTATTGCTAACCCTCCATGATCTTCATTTCTATGGTTCTGCTCCTGATCAGCTGTCCTCTTAGTTTGCTTTTGTTTTAGGTGTGGTTCTTAATAACTGTGAGTTTGCTGTCCTTTCACTGTTCATCTTTTTTATCTTCTTTTTCTTAGATAAGTCCCTTTAACATTTCATATAATAAGGGCTTGGTGATGATGAACTCCTTGAATTTGATCTTATCTGAGAAGCACTTTATCTGTCCTTCCATTCTAAATGAAAGCTTTGCTGGATAGATCAATCTTGGTTGTAGGTCTTTGGATTTCATGACTTGGAATACTTCTTTCCAGCCCCTTCTTGCCTATAAGGTCTCTTTTGAGAAATCTGCTGACAGTCTGATGGGAACTCCTTTGTAGGTGACTGTCCCCTTATCTCTTGCTGCTTCTAGGATTCTCTCCTTCATTTTAATCTTGGTTAATGTAATGATGATATGCCTTGGTGTGTTTCTTCTTGGGTCCAATTTCTTTGGGACTTTCTGAGCTTCCTGGATTTCCTAGAAGTCTATTTCCTTTGCCAGATTGGAGAAGTTCTCCTTTATTATTTGTTCAAATAAGTTTTCCACTGGTGGCTGTTCCTCTTCCCCTTCTGGTACCCCTATAATTCAGATGTTGGAATGTTTAAAGATGCCCTGAAGGTTCCTAAGCCTCTCCTCATTGTTTTGAATTCTTATTTCTTCATTCTTTTCTGTTCGGTCATTTTTTTCCTCCTTCTGGTCCACTCCTTTGATTTGAGTCCCAGTTTCCTTTCCATTACTATTGGTTTCCTGTGCATTTCCATTCATTTCAATTAGTTTAGCCTTCATACATTCCTTTAATATGTGACTAAAATCAACCAGTTCTGTGAGCATCCTGATCACCAGTGTTTTGAACTATGCATCTGAAAGTTTGGCTAGTTCTTCATTGCTTAGATTTATTGGCTCTGGGGCTCTGAGTTGTTCTTGAGCCATGTTTTTATCTGTTTGTGCCTGTTATGTATGAGGAGCGGAGACTTAGTCGTTCACCAGGGCAGGGCTACCCAGGTTGCTGGGTTTTGATGCTGTATGTGGGGGCAGGGTCAGAGAGGGACAATGGCAGTCCCCACTGCCGCTTCCCGCCACTGGGGCCTGGACAGTCTGTCTCACCGCTCGCTCCTTCATCAGTTTATCTGCGTGCGAATGTGTGACCGCAATCAGCCTCAGTGGGTCCACTGCCTTGCACCCTCAGTGGGTCCACCTGCTTCTCCACACCTGGAATCGGCCCATGGCTGCTGGTGCACCTGGGTCCCACATCCAGATAGGTCTGCTGGATCTTTTCTGCCCGACCCCACTCTGCTGCTGGCTCTGCCCCTCTTACTGGTTTGGCTGAAGGGTTCGTTGTTGTCAGACTTCCGTGTAGTTCAATTTTCTGTGGTTTGGCTGCATTTTCGTTGCTAAAACTTTGTTATTTTTAAACTTGGTTGTGCAAGAAGGCACAGTGCTTCCACCTATGCCTCCATCTTGGTGGAAATCTCTCAGAGATTTTTTTAAGTTTACTTATTTATCTTTAGAGGGGAAGGGTTAGGGAGAAAAATATCAACGCATGGTTGCCTCTCACGGGTCCCCTGCTGGGAAATGGCCTGCAACCCAGGCATGTGCCCTGACTGGGAATCAAACCAGGGATCCTTCGGTTCGCAGGCCTGCGCTCAATCCACTGAGCTACACCAGTCAGGGTTCTAGTTAGAAATTTTTTTTTAAAAAGAAAGGAAAAAAGCTCTCTGTGAATGGCTTCTATTACAAAGCTTCGAGTAACATTTAGAAAAAGAAACCGACAAACGCTGTTGAGATTCAGGGAGAATGTATCCATTATGTTAATGTTATAGACTTTAACAGTTATTTTTAAATCGTTTTTAACATAAGCATACAACACAAGTTAAAATCAGTCTTCAAGTCAGCAAGAAAATGCAAACAGGAAAGTTGTTCTTAATTTAACCAATAATTATCTTTCTACTGCAACAAAATATGTGCTAAATTGTACACATAATAAAGTAGTAGGCAAGTGGAGTTGAGAAATATCTCACCCCAGTTACCTAGTAAAATGAACTGCTTTTTAAAAAACCTGTCACTTCCAGGACAGGTAGGATTGAAAGGTCTATTTAATAACCTGCTCCAAAGTCTTTCTATGTAATGTAATTCATTTACACAGTGTACAGCACATAGTTCTTTATACATTTTAATTGATTTTTTTCATTAATGCGTGTTTTGCTAAATGGAGTAGTGATATGTGATGGGTAGAATGTTACATCGGATAAAAAGAAAACTAAGATCATTCTTGCTAGACTGGTATCTTAATCTATGTCAATGTTACTTAACACTTTCCAACTTATTAACCTTGTCAATTTCTCTGTATCTTCATAGGAAATGCTACTTTTTGTCACTGTCATGAGAACAGATATTTTTACGTACCATTTGGTGAAATTTCTTTAAATATAAACTAGTTGGAATACATAAATTAGACATTGTCTAGCTTAAAACGGATGCCTTCGGGAGGATCAATGAGTTTTCAGTGATTGCGACAAAACATAAAGGGGGATATTTTTAGGAAATAGGTTAATAAAGTCAGCAAACATAAATAAATTTGTGACCAATTCCCCAGTTTTTATCTAGAAATATGACAAAATTTCAGAACTGGAATTGAGCAACCTCTTATTTTTAGAAAAGAAAACCCAGCCTCTGAGAGATTTTAAGTTGCCCATGTGATATTTATATTTAGTCTTATTCCAGCACACAGAAAAAAACACTTCTAGAAGATGAAACATATAAGTGATTAAACTGAGGCTAAGTGACAATAAAGATAGCAAAATGTAGTTGAAATCAAGTGTGGGCTGTCGATGTAAAATAGATTCTGTGAGGGCAGGTGTACGGCTCTAGCCCAATGCTACAAAGAAGAGATTTTGTCGTTGTTGTTTTCTAAAACCAGCACAAAGAAGAGAAAAAAACAAGTCGTTGTGCATGAGATACAAACTAACCAGTCACTCAGGTGAAACTTGAATATTCCTAACACTAAGTCTTGAAGGAAATTTCTTAAATGGATTCTTGTACAGAGAATATTGTTAAATGTAGCAAGTCATAAATGGTCCTCTTTCTCATCGGGCCAGAATCAGCCTCCAAAACCCCCTCATCCAGTAGACTCTAAACAGTTTCTATGCATGAACTCTGTTTGCCATCCTGGATCCAGAAAAAGGGATGACTGCAAGATCTTCACATAAACTTTCTTAAATATAGTTGCTCTCAATGAGTTATCAAAAGGTAATTACTGAGTCCCACCAAATTTGAGATTATAATCCCTGTCAAGATTGGATAGCAGCTTTTCTATATTTCTATTGAGTGTGAAGCTGTGTGATATAATAAATAATATAACATAATATAACAACATAACATATGTAATATATAATTAATATATAGTGAATGAAGCTAGGGATACAACTGACATGTACTAATGAAGGCTGAGGCATCTAGTTAGATGCACAGTGAAGAGAAGTCGCCTCTTCCGTCTACGTGGAGACGTCCTGAGGGAGAGCGCAGGGACGCCTGGTTAGAGAAGGAGCCTGAGCTGGCATCTGCAGCTTGTTCCCTCCTTCCTTTTATCCAGCGTTGTCAGTGGTGTTCTTTAATCCAGTCTCACCAGAATTCATGGTACATAACATCTTAGATATTTTTAGAGCTGGACTATATTTTATTTAGGGTCCGATTGAAATGGATCATTTGGAAATTTAGGCCTCTTTTATTTATATTGGACTTTTTTGTGAACTGACAAATAAAGAACATAAGAAAAGCAAT